TGGGGGGTTTGAACAGGGTAATGACGCTCTCTGACATTTTAAAATAATTGGTTGCTCTGAGAATAGAGATAAAGGACAAAACCGAGCAGTTTCCAGAACCTTCACCGCTTCATCCAGGTCCTGGCACCGTCTGCTCTTACTCCAATAATTGCAGGCAGGCCCAGTGAGGCAATCGCCATGGTGTGGGCCAGAGACGGTGGCGGCGGCAAAGGTCCTGGACCTGTTGGGAAGGTAGAGCTGACCGTATTCGGTAGGACAGGGGCAGACGAAACCCTGAGTTCCTTTTGTGTTTCCCTCTTACTAGAAGATAAAGTGGATGAGGAAGTTTAGGCTGCCAGCAAAAGAAGGATGCAAAAGAACTGTCATGAATGATGGAGGCTGGCAGATGAATGTGTATGGCCAGGAGGGAGGTAGAGTGCTGGGACAGAGGAACGGAAGTGGCCTGGGAGCCCCAGCAAGCCAGTGGGAGAGGAGGGACGGCTCTCAGCGGGAAGCTCCAAGGAGAGGATGCCCTTGGTGCAGCCCACATGACCAGGGTGCTGGGGAGCCATAAAGAAAGTTATCAGGAAGTAAGTAGGTTGGGAGTTAGAAAGTCAGGATTCCAGAAGCATCATCCACACATGTAAAATTACTGAGTATAACAGTCCAGGAAAGAGCAGAAGCCACTCGGCGGAAGTCATCAGGGAGGATGGGAGAGCATCCGGGCCTTTGTGAGCAGGTGGAAGGACCGACTCGGTGGCAGCAAGCCTCATTCTAGAGGGAGGAGTGAAATGGGAGCAGTCAGGGCCTCCCTCTTGCCTTAGGAATCAGAGGACTTGGAGATACACTGGTGGCTGACTGAGGGGTTTAAGGAAGAATTTCCCAGGGCTGTTCTCCGACAGAATCAGGTGCTGCTGCGTGCGGCCAAACTCCCAGGACAATGACTTCCAGAGCAGTCCATTCCGTGACAGAGGCCAGGGACTCATAGGAGGCATGTTGGTATTAGAGGGATTCCCATGCTTGGGACACAGCTGACTTAGTGGCCTCTCAAGTCTCTCTCAGTGCTGAGCTTTTCCTTCCCATAGGTCTGGACCAGTGGTGCCTTCTTTGGCTTTCCAGCTTTGCAAAATCCACATTGTAAGGGAAGCCATCATTTTTCAAAAAATGTTTAATGGAAACTTCTTTGCTTAATGAAACTTGCCTCCACTTAGGGAAAGCCCTTTAACTGAGCCCTTTTTAAGCCTTAATTTTTTTTTTCCTCATTCTTCTGTCAGTTGGCCTCATAAATATTCATTAAGGATTGACCCTAAATAAGACTTATTCTGAAAATCTTTCCTAAGCCTTTCAGTTTTGCTTTCTTGTAACAAGTAATTCTTTAAATATGATCTCTGGTCAGTTATATTATTGTAAAATCTAGTGAGTAATTGATTCTTGGAGTTTTTAAATTGAATCAGGTTTTGTGAAATCATAGGATCTGATACGAAGGAAGAAGTATTTTCTATGAATCAAGTAACTCCCTCTCGTGGAGCTCCAGCTGCAAACCCTTGTCCTTCTCTTGTGTCCCCCAGCAGAGGAGGTGGCAGCCAAGGCTGAGCTGGAAGGGGAGAGAGAGTCAAGCCTATAGCCTGGGCATGGACTAGAATGCAATTTGAACAGCAGAAGGGCTTTCAGATGGGTATGGACAGGGGTGGCCCCCTAACCTGCAGACACACGTTTGCAGGAGGCCCACTGTCCGTGGGGAGAGGGCTCCTGCAGGCTCGGTGGCCGTGGTGAAATGTCTGGTGGGCACATGTGGGTGCTTCCCTGACTTCCCGCCATCTTCCCTGTAGACCATGTAGTGACACAGCCTCTGGTTTGTCCCCACATGGTCACCTTTTGTTCTTCTGCTCACACAGAAAATTCCTTTTCCTCTTTGGCCAAAGACACCTTTTCATCATCCAGTGCCTGCTTTTCTCCCACTGTTAGGCAGGCAACAATGGTCTCATTGCAGATTTTTCAGCTAGAATGAGAGATCATGAGAGCTGAGCCCTGATGTCCCCTTTCTTTGATGTGTTTTCTGGGAAGGTTTGAGTCTAGCTTCAGGCCACTATGATGCTGTGTGGTCCTGGGAAAGTTACTTAACCTCTCAGAGCCTCAGTCTCCTCACCTGTCCGGTAGAACACTGCAGAACTTAGGAGACCTTTTGAGATACAGTAAGCCAGCCCCAAGCCCAGTGTGTGGCATGTGGGTGTTCAGTGAGTCAGAGCTGCTGTCGTGGTTTGAGCTCATGTATGTAGACTTTAATCAAGTTACCAGTTTAATCACCTTACTCTAGATTGTTTTGTTCTTTATTAGTCCAGATTTTAACTGGGAAAGGAAGTCCACCTGCTTTATCTGGTACCTGTGCTTAGGACGCAGAAGGACTGAGAGGGAGAGCATGTTGAACCTCTTTATTTATAGTTATTTACCCTGTCATTCGTTGGTGACAGCAGGGGAGAGGGCTCTTACATGATTGGAAACCAACGATGGCAGGAACAGAATAAATCTTTTTCAAAGTTGTACTTTCGTTTTTAATATTTTTGTTATTTGGGAGGATGGAAAAAATAGCAACTAAAATATTAGAATTTGCCATGGACCTTGTAGGTGACAACTCCAAAGGGAGTGTTTGTCTTTCAGAGCTGTGGTCACACAGACTTGATGAAAAAGAAAAGCAGTTCCTAAGGGTCTCTGCCCTGAGAGAATTTGATGGCCTGGGCTTTCTGAGAACAGCTCTCTGGCTGCCTTTCAAGCCTGTTAAGAGTGCTCTTAGCCCATCTCTCCTGAGCTCGAAGTAATTTCCAGTCAGTGGTGTTAGAGTTGCTGCCTTCTGCTTCCCATTTAATCCCCGACTCCTGTGCCTTGGTCTTTAGGCCCTAGTCCCCCTCCTGGTCCCATCCCCTCTGTGTCCTCCTCTCTGAGTCTGGCCTCTCCTCTCCACACATCCCTGTCCACCATCCCCAAGCCCTGATCATGCCCACCTCAGAGCTTTTCTCAGGCCATGTCCCTCCTGTCCCTTGAGCCACATGGTCTGTCATCTTTAGGGTCAAGCTGGTTCATCAGCTGATTTTCAATATTAGCAAGTGACCCTTGGTCTGTAGTGGGGGTTCTCAATTTTGACTGCACAATGGAATCCCCTGGTAGCTTAAAAAAATCCCAGTGCCTGGCTGTAATCCCCAGAGGTTCAGATTTAATTGTTCTGAGCTGTGACCTGGGTGTCTGGATTTTTAAAGGCTCTCCCAGGTGATTCCATGTGCAGCGGGATTGAGAACCCCTGGTCTAAAAATTCATTCTTTCCCCGAGCTGAGTGTATTCTAATAATAACTCTGTTTGTTTCCCCAAATGACTTGTGTACCGTCGCATTTTAAATAGTTCATGTGACTGTAAAAACATCAAAGTAGCTATTTCTACCTCGTGTTAATTTGGTAGATGGGGGGAAAGGAAATCGTACAGTTTTTTTTGTGTTTGTTTTTTTTTTTTAATTGAATTCCTAGAGTACCTCTGGGCCCACTTGATGGTAGTACGAGCAACTGCCATTTATGAAGCTCTCAGCCTGGGCCTGGCACCGTGCTAAAGACTTCCAATGCTCGGCATGTTCTTTAGGCCTTCTTAATCCTCAGTCCCGAGAGTAAGTCTCGGTTTTCCTCTCGCTGATTAATGAGGATCCTCAGCCCCAGGGAGGCTCACCTGCTCGCCCAGGGCTGAACCGGGAACCCCCGCACATCTGGTGCCCAACCTTCACTGATCCCTTGGGAAGGAACCACTTACCTAAATAATTTCCCAGTAAATAAGGGTGTCCCTGTGTTAGCTTTGGGGTTGAACTCTCCTTGAATTGGGTTGTGTTCTTTTGTGTGTCGAGAGCTTCCATAAATTTGATTTCAGTTTCATTCCCAAGTTGCCTATATATATCCAAGACTGGGAGCCCATATCACAAATTCGTTTTCTTCTTGCCCTCAGCAGACGTTGTTTTAGAGAAGCGTCTTGTGTCTAGCGCCTCACCTTGTAGAAGCCACCCCAGGTTTTACCTAGTGACCCTGATACTTCTTTGAAAGGTGGTGAGTAGGCAGGGCTGTCCCCATTTTGTAGAGAGGGGAGGTGGTGGGCCAGTATTCGTTATCTGTTGAGTAGCAGTAATAGCTACACTGAATGAGTGCTTTCTAGGCTCCGCGCTAAGCTCGTTACAGCCTATGTGATTATCCTCATTTTACAGCTAAGGAAACTGAGACCAGAAAAGGTGGAGCTCCTTGCCCAGGTGGTACAGTTAGTTAGTGATTAGATGCCCTGTTTTCTTTGCAGCTCGTTTGTTTTTTCACTCCTGATGAGCAAAATGGCAAGACGTAGACTTCATTTTCCCTCTCCTGGTAGCCTGGCCGGGCCTCGCGGTATATGCGGCGGCATCTGGACAGCCACGTCTAGCATAAACCACTGAAGCATAAAGTGCATTTTCTTTCCATGTGTCGAATGGCCATTTAATAGCTATTGTGAAACAGAATTTTCTGCCAACCTTGAATGTCACACCGAGGTCAAACAGGCTCTAAATATTCCTTTTCCAGCCATCCCAGTACGAGGCTGCTTTGGTGTAAACAACCCCCGAAGGTCAGAACCAGCTCGTGGGGGCAGTCCCGCTCTGCATCGGTCTCTGAGCTCTGCTGTTTCTCAGCTTTGCACTCATGACAGGACGCTTGTCACTGCTGCGGGGCCATTTCATAGAGTGCAGGCACAGATGCTGAGGACAAAACCCACCTCCCCCCTTCTTGTTGCTAAGTCTGAGTAGCTGCCTTATTTTCTCCCTCTGCAAGCGAACAGAGTCAATAGCTTCTGGTTGGTTAATTATGTGTCCCCATACACAGTTCTGGAGGAAAAATAACTCCGTGTACAGGGAGATTGGCAGCGTGGTGAGTGATGGAGCATCCGGGAAAATGAACTACCCAGCCACCTGTGTCAGGGCGGCGGGTCACTAATTGAGTGCAAACCTCTTTTTTTAAATGTTGTTTATCCCCCTACAGGGCATACAAAACCATTGAGGATGATGACTTGAAGTTTCCCCTTATATATGGAGAAGGCAAGAAGGTAGGCATGTGCACTCCCCCTGGACCGAGAGAGCCAGGCTTCATCCCCGCACCGCCCATGGCGGTCTCCACACCCCACTCAGCAGCCTGGCATTTTATAGCCCTGACAGCTTGAAAGAATACCACCTTCCATCCTCCTTCAGGCCTCCTGTCATGAGGGTCTGAGGAGTGGCAGGGTTTAGGGAGGGGGGAGGTGACTGGAAAATAACATTCCATTTCTCAGATCTATCTGAGGAAATTTTTACAGTGTTTAACCACAAACGCATACACATAGTTCATCTCCCTGTGTTTCTGACAAGCCACGAGGCAGGCTGAGCCCACGGTGTTAGGTCCATTTGGCAGACGAGGCCGCTGAGACTCTGAGGAGAAATCGGCTTCCGCAGAGTCCCACAGCCAGCCAGGTGCAGGGGTGTAGGATATGTGGAGCCATGGCCGCTTCCCGGCTTCTAGAATGCTCACGCTCCACCATGATGAAGCCCTAGGATTCCGTGGACCAGAGCCCTGGCCGAGCTAGCAAAGCTCCTTGGTCACGAGCTCCCAGGGCCCCAGTGGGAACCACACCCTGAGCGGCAGGCACGTGGTGCAGCCCAGGAAGGCTGTCTGTCCGTCTGGATCTGGGAGCTGAGGCTGGAGGAGGTGGCCGTCCCGGACCAGAGATGAGGGGAAGCTTTGAAACGGTTTCCCAGTAAGAACAAACAGCTCTGAGTCATTGCATTCTTCCTCTGAACGCGAATGCACTTCAGACTCTGTGCTGAGAGCTCCTGTTATAAGTGAAAAATGTGCTCACGTTAAGAAAATCCTCAGCTGAATTTTTTCCAATATCTGGTAGTTTTTTGGAGGAGGAAGTGACTCATAATAAAACTGAAGGGTGCCTTTATGGCCAGAACTTGAGCGTGTTTGTGCGTGTGTGCACACGTGCATGCTTGGGCCTCTGAATGTGCATGTGTGGGAGAAGAACACGGGTTCACGTTTGGGCTCATTGTAGCCGTGATTTCAGTGCAAGGGGGCATTCCGTGGAGGGACATGAAACACAAACATCTGATTCACAGAGAGTTCGTTTTTTGAATGAACTTTCCCCATTCATGGAAATGGGCCATCCCTGATTGAAAATCATGACGGGAAGGAACTCTGTTCCTGACGGTGTCGCGTGTGCCCGTCAGGAGGATGGGTACCATTACTGCACGTCTCTCAGCCCTGTGACCTGTGCCTATAGCGGCGGTGCTTTGTGGGGCTGAGAGTCTCAGTATGACCCTCCCATACCCAGTGAGTTCTGGTAAGCTCAGCGCTACCTCCTGTTCCCTTTGCATCCCTAGCACCTGCCCAGCCTGGTACCGACACACGGCTGGCTTTCCTTAAAGGCGTCAGGATTCAATACACTTTTCCGTTACGTATGGTATCCTTTCCCCCATACCAGAGGAAGATGGACGAATGTGTTCTTAGAAGATGGTCAGAAGAAGAGGTAAAGGAGCCAGGGGCTTTCCCAGTTCAGCAAATGTTCATTTCACCTGGACATCATGTTCCCCAAGCGTTTCAGTTAATTAGGGCTTGACAGGTCTGTGATAGGCAGCTGGCAAGTTCTGTTGTCGTACCTGATGGCCTATTTAAAACCGGTGTGGCTCCTGTCTTTCCCAGGCTTGCTCCGTGGTGAAGCAGCACGAGACCCCTGTCAGGGGATCCATGATTTCTTGTGAAATCTTGACAGCTGCATCACGTCAGTTCTGTCGAGATCCTCTGTGGGGGTTTCTCTTCCCTGTCTGCATACACCTACCCAGAAGTTTCGGAAGACCGCCACAACCACAACTTCTCATTTTATTCCTGCCAATACTTTTAAGGATTTGTGTGGGTTACACCTACATACTTTGTAAACAAGTTCAGTAACTAGCAGAAACATCAGATTGCTTTAGACAAAACGCCCACCTGTGCTTTTCCAGCCAGAGGAGCTGCCATTGCAACGGGGAGAGCAGAAGGGCTGCTGGGGATTCGGAATTTTCACGCTTAGAGTTGAACACTTCTTAGCCAGTAGGGACCTGGTCCAGCTCCCCAGCGGACCAGAGAGTTTCTGCAGCCTGCCTGACCGGAGGTCCCCAGGCTTCGTATCACATGCCTCCATTTTATCCTCTTTGATTCTTGCCTTTAGAAAAATATGTCATGGTTTCATTTCCACTTTAATGTATACCTGCCCATCTTCTCATCTGAAAGCAGCTCCAAAATCCATAGCCTTTTCAGGAAAACAGGATGAAAATGCTGGTAATGTTTTAGATTGTACTGTTTCTTAGCCTTTACAAGTTACTCTTACTACCCAAAGAGTAGAGTGAGGATTCAAGCCCAGGTCTTGGCACCATGACTCTACCCTGGGTTTATTATTGATGGTCCCAGTGTTAGGCCACTGGGCTCCATTCTGTCAAGAATGACTTTCACTCCTTCCCTCTCTGCTTCCCTGGCTCAACGCTACCCATCCTTCTGCACAAAATTGTCATGCCACCACCTCCAGGAAACTTTCTCAGCAGAATGTTTGCCTCCTCTGAACTCCTATAACCCATGGTGCTGTATCTTTCAGCACTCGGCCATATTTTACATATTTTAGCTCCCTTCACAAGTTTCTTTTTATTAGGGACAAGTCCTTAGATATTTGTCCCCACAGCATGACTTCTGCACATAGTAGGTGCTCAGTAAATGTTTGGCTAAGTCAAAACTATGGCATCCCGGGAGATATTTAGGCTGACTGTGTAGGCATTAGTATAATAGTATTATTTCCTTAAAGCTTTGGGAAACCGAAACTGTTTAGAGAAAGCACAGGTGATCAGGTCTCAACCCTGAGCTCTCTCTGTAGTTATAACAAAGTGACATTTTGCTCTTTTCCCCCCAGAGGGAATTCGTGGGGATCTTAGCAGGCTGGGTTGGAGAGTTGCAAAGAGTTTCTTTTCTCTAGCCATGAAGTACACTATGTGAGCTTTGGGAGGGTGGGAGCTGCCACTCAGTTTTTTACATCTCTCAGTAGTGCCTAGCAGGAACTGGAGACATGGCTGGTGTGTTCACTGAATTCTTGTAGGGTGGGTATATCATCGACCGACAGATGGATGGATGGACAGATCGCATTGGATTGGAACTGATTTTTGTAGCTGTAGACATCACACATGTTGGATTTAGTTTCCCGGATACCCTTCCTTCCAGTCTCTACAAAAGAAAGCTGAAAAGAGACAGCAGCAACCCATTAAACTTAGGATAATTGGTAGGACAACCACTCCTTAAGTTCATGAGTGATCTTGGTGAGCCCTTCCTTGGAAACAGCTACCCACAGAAGTTAGTAGCAGGGAACATGGAGAGGGACAGAAGGAATTGGAAAATGATTGCTTCTCTTCACCTGTGGCAGCTACATTGTGACAGGAGTGCTTTCTCAGTCTGTGGAAGTGTTTCTGATGACCCTCTGCTTATACCCCTAGGCCCGAGTAATGGCAACTATTGGAGTGACCAGGGGACTTGGGGACCATGACCTGAAGGTGCATGACTCCAACATCTACATAAAACCATTCCTGTCTTCAGCTCCAGAGGTATGGTATGAAGTTTCTATTTCTGTTTTGTGCAATAAACAATGGTCTGCGTGACTCCTGCTGTGACTTGTGCCCTACCTGCAGACAGTAGCTGGCTTATGTCACAGAGACTTGTGCCGTGTTCCTTTTACCCCCGCTCCATTTGCACTTTGAGTGTCCTGGTTCCCACCCTCCTCATTCCCTGCCTGGGGCGTTGCACAGCCCCCTCGTGGCATTCCTGCCTCCTCAGTCCATTCCACATTTTTTTTTTTTAAAGATTTTATTTATTTATTTGTCAGAGAGAGAGAGGGAGAGAGAGCGAGCACAGGCAGACAGAATGGCAGGCAGAGGCAGAGGGAGAAGCAGGTTCCCTGACGAGCAAGGAGCCCGATGTGGGACTCGATCCCAGGACACCGGGATCATGACCTGAGCCGAAGGCAGCTGCTTAACCAACTGAGCCACCCAGGCGTCCCTCCATTCCACATTTTATCATCAGGCAGGTGTTCCCAAATAGGTTACTCTGACTCCTGTTTGTTCCAAAACCTTCAATTCACCCCATGGCTATAAGAATAGAGCCCAGACTCCTTCAGTTGGCATTTGAGGCATGTTATAATTTGGTCTGACTTTCTGGACCAAAAATTTGATCTTTGTTCCCCAAAAGGAACCAGAAAGAACTTGGTGTGTCCTTCCTGTGCACAATCTTCAGTTTCCCAGAGTTGCTTAAACTGTTCTGACTAGAATGCCTTTCCTCCCCATCTCCAAACATCCAAAGTCTCCTGTGGAGACTTCCCTGATTTCTCCCTTCCCTGACCAGAGGTAATGTCATCCCACAGGTCGTAAGGCAGCTGCCTTTTACTATCTTCCACTTTCTGCCTTATCACATCGTTGTTCGTATATATACCTTATCCCTTCTTCGATTTTAGTTGCCTGTAGAATTTGTATCATTGAGCTGATGTTTACAGAAGATAATTGGAAAATAAGTTGTCAACTTTTTGGTTAAAAAAAAATTTTTTTTCCTCACCTAAAACTAATGTTAGAAAAAGCCAACAACCTGTGTTTCATACGATAGAGGAAACAATGTCAAGTTCTGTTTCAGGGTGTATCTTTAGAAAACGTTTTGGTTCTAAGTTGTAGAGAAATCTAAGTAGTAGTAGGTTAAGGGTCCATTTTTTTTTCCTATAGCAGACAGGCTGGAGCTTGGTGGCAGCTACTGTGGGTGCATGCCCTCCCGTGCGCCTGGACTGGCATCCCGGCTTTGCTGCCTTTCACTTCAAGGTTGCAAGATGGTGGCAGCTGCTCCAAGCGTAGCATTTCCATGCAAGGCAGGAAGGAGGAGGCAGGCAGCCCGTCTGTCCCAACAGAGACTCCCTTGTGCACTTGTGTCTCGTTGGCCAGAACTGTGTCACATGACCTCCCCGGGCTGCGAGGAAGGTTGAGGGAGAGAGCTCCAGCTTTTCCAATTTTTACAATGGAGGGGAGCCAGGGAGAGGTGAGTCAGGAACCAATGGTGTTCACATTCTGTCTAATTACCTTTTTAAGCAGTGCCTGCCCCGGAATTGCCCAGAATGTTTAAACATAGCTCCATCTGCGTGTTCTTCCCAAGCATAGATGCTGTTTTGTTGAAGGCTCTTTTTGTTGGAGGAAACCAAAATCCACTCATGCTAACTCAGAAGAGGAGGTGTTTATTATAATTATAGTAGAAGAGATGTTTATGGTGAACACAGGATGAACACAGGAAGAACCTTACCAGCCAGGCTTTATGGGAGGGGGGTTCTGGAATCAAGGCACCCGCAGAGAGCCTCAGCAGTGGGAGTCTGTACCTTCATGGGGGCGTTGTGCCCTTACTGTGGCCAGTCATGTTCCATTTGTTTCTGCTGCCAGTCAACCCAGTCCTTCACTCTCCTGATTCCTCATTGCCAGAGAGGAAAATCACTGGCCCAACTCCCTTTTTATACCAGGCCACAAGTGACTGCCCAGCCCATGAATTGCCCCTCCAGCTTGTCTACCCCAGAGCCCTCCGTGGGCACAAACAGCCATGTAGGCCCACCCCTTTGGCAGGGCTGTGAGCAGGGTGGGTGGTTCTTTTGGAGTCCTTGTTGCTGATGCTGGCATTTAAAATACATGTAGCCAGAAGAGCTCTGGAAGTCACAGAGGGGACAATATCTAGTAGGTAGAAGGCCTGGAAGACACATACCTTTCCCGATATCACCCAGGATTTCAAATGAGATCAGCCTGGTCGGAATAATAACTACCATTCATCAGAGCCCGTAGATGTCTCTGTTTTAGGCCTCCCAGCAATTCTGCGTGATGAGGACAATATGACATAAAACGTCCAGGGTGCCCCAGAAGCTTGTGGATTCCTGATCCTTCTATTCTGGCCAACCTCAGGATCCACGAATTATTGCTAAAACTACCCTTGGCTGCGGGAAAGCAATAAATACTGGACTCGTGGACTCTATGCCCCCCCTTACCAGACCTATTAAATGCCCCCCTCTTAAGAGAGAGGCATTTATCAGACCTATTAAATGGTGCCATCGTCTTTCTACTTTGCAAAAGGGACAGATGAAGTGTGACTCATGTTCTTGGTGGCGAGGGCAGGGGGGGAGTCCTCAGAAAGCACTAATTAACCATTTTGCTTCTTAAAGCAAAGTGAAAACCTTCTCCTCTCCTTCCACACACACCTATGCTTTCTATATAAAGTGAGAAGAGGTGTGGTTTGGTTTGAATGAGAATAATTTCTGCCCAGTTAGATTATAGATCCTCGGATCACTCTATTGCCATGGTTCCAAAGAAGAGACTGTGGGTTTAAAACTTGGGGGTGCATGGGAGACTCCCTGGGGACTGAGGAGAAAGCCCAGTCGGTTGATCACCTATCTAGAGTGATGCTGATTTGCAGGGACCTGGGTTGGTTGGTTCAGCCTTGGTGAGGGACTGGACAGGTGGGCAGGGTGTTTAAAAGGAAACCGCCCACCTCTGGAGAAATATAAGAAATATAAAATATAAATACAAGAAATATAAGAAATATAAGTGCCCTTAGAAAAGGTGTAGAGTTCAATAAAATGTAGTTTTGTAATAACAAGTAACATAACAGGTTGACTACTTAGTCTGGCTCAGACAACTTAATGTGTTTTCTGTACACAGTATCCTAGGATGTCCATATGCCTATTGTACCCATTTTGCAGATGGGGAAACTGAGCTGCAAAGAAGTGAAATAACTCCCCCAGTTATGACTCCCCCAGTTGTACGGTCATGAAATAACAAGATGGTACTTGTACCCAGGTCTGTCTAATTTGATGATGGTCTGTAGGGGAGAGAAGCTGAGTTCAAAGAAATGTCTCTGGACAATGTCTAAGGGACCCTCTGAGTATAGGTTCGAGGGGCTCTGAAGAGAATCTTTGTCCTGGGACCTCAGTGGCTCAAGTTTCTCAGAGAAATACTGCTGGCCTCAGACTAAAGTTGTAGAAAATGATGGCGTACTAGAAAAAGTAATTGGGAAAGACAGTAATAGCCTTTGGTGTGTGCCAATCTCAGCCAGACAGAATTGTGCAAAATAAGATTGTGCACGTATAATTTAGCTTAATGGGTATGTAGTGTAGACCCGAAGATTCCTTTGCACAAGATTAAAATTGTTGTACATGTTAAGTGCTTCCAGATGGAGAGGGCTTAGCCAGAATGGGGAAAGAGGGAGGGCGGTTAGAAGAGGAGGAGCAGCTGGAATTGGCTACTATGGAGGGGTACAAGAGACTCCCTCATCCCCTGTCTTGGGGTAGAAACTCCTCTTCTTTGAGTGCTAGTGATAGAGTCCAACACTGGAGACATGGCGAATGGGCCTCTTTGGGGGAGCTCGGAAAGCCAGGTAAATTGAGCTAAACTGTCTAATGAAGAATGGCCTCCTTTCCTGCCTGTATCCCCTCACCCCGCACCCCACACCTACCCTGGCTTTCTAACTGTGATTTCCTAAAAGCATTCCCCTGCTATGCCTCATCTTTGCCAAGCATGGATCTTCATTTCACATTTGGGTTCTAAATTTCAAATCCAGCTCAGTCTGGTAATTTTAACAGTTGGGGAGAAAATGCGATTTAGTTCTAAGAAAAAAAAGGCTCCAAAATCTTCTTGGAAATCAGCATTGTTCCCTTCATCATTGTAGCTCCTAATTCGATTTGATGAGCTAAATAAAAATAAGACAAAAACATGTGTATCAAATTTACGTAAAAAATGCTCAGGGGTTTAAAAATTAGAGAAGGGTTTCTAGCCAAACACATTTTCGGTTTCACTGAACACAAGGCGCTGGAAAAATCTTGAGTTTGCCAAACCGAAAGAGCAGCCGCCAGGCTTGCTGAGCCTCCCTCCTGTCTTCCAAGGTCTGAGGCAGGGATTTCCGGCCAAGAAATGAATTCCACAAGGGGCCCCCACCAACCGAGCGTTGGCCTGACCATCAAATGTGGACGCGTTCTGACTCTCGTCTGGTCCATAGCACCGTGGTTCCCTGTGTCACGGTGGAAGAGCAGCCTCTCCCCACCTATGAGAAAGCCTCAGCCAGGTCTCCCACATCCTTGCACAGTGAAGCTCATCAGCAGTCACCTTTCTTCGACTGTCCCGAAAGAGTTCAAGAGGAGAAGGAAAGGATCGGGAGAGTCACGCCCTGAGCACAAACTCTCCACCTCTTCTCTTCCAGCATTTCTTCTCCCCGCTGCAATCCAGCACACTTCCTGCTGTGTTACTCAGGCACCTTGGCACAGGTCTGCAGACTAAACCTCCACATGTTCTCTGCTCCGCGCTCCTCTCTGACCTGTAACGGGCCCTCACTAGAGCTAGGATTCCTCTTCGTGTTACTTGCTTTCTGGCCTGCACTCCAAGACTGCCGTTAGCCCCCTTTCGGGCTCTTGGAAGAATGGGGTCTTTTTCTTTGTGGGGACTACTTTGCAAAGCCAACCAACCCCTCCCTCAACTCTGCATCCCCTCCTCCCGCCACTGCCAGACTGAACCACAAGGAGCCCCATTTTCTCTTGGCTTCATTGTTC